CAAATGAATAAACTCAATTATCTCAAAATATAATTTATGTAAAAATGGGCTGTTTCTATTGACAACACCCCATATATATATTTTTAGTATTTAATTTAAGTAGTTTGTCTAAAGACTACACTATTGTCTATATATATTTGCAATTTTGCTATTGAGTTATTTATTTAAACTTTTAAATTACTATTGCTATTTATCATTAATCTAACTTAAATACAATTTAGTATTTATATATATATACTATGTATTCTAGATTTTATACTTTATTATAGAATTTATTAATTTTTTTAGACTAGTCTATCATCAATATCAACTTGATAAAGTAGTTTACAGTATATCATATATATATTTTTGCTTACATGTTTAGTAACTTCTTTTAAATTAGTATTTGTTGTACTGCTACTACTATGTTTATATTTTAAGCTCTCTTTTATAATACTATTATTCTTTAAACTATTTTCTAGACAAATTTGTCTAGAATTTTGAAAAGTATTTATAATTTTTTAAATAAAATTAAAAATTATTAATAATATAGAGTATATTTTATATATATAATATTTTATTTAAAATATATTCTATCTCTTAAACTATATAGCATACAAATTTGTATGCTAAAATTTTTTACAACTTATTTTTGGGTAACTGTAAAAAATTTTATTAAGCTTTGACCTCTCTGTTTATAAGCTAGAATTGAAGCATGCCATATGTCAATCATACCCATCGTTCATAGTATCTTCTACTTCTAATACAATTGTTATGCCATATAATTCAAGATTGTGCATTTGGGTAACTTGATAATCATTCATCTCTTGCATGGCTAAATTCATTTTCTAACTAAATAAACATTATAGTCGCTAGAAATTAAATGAATTATTTGCATTAAGTAATGCAAACTATTTTTAAATAAAAAGATACGAATAATCACTTGCTGACTTAAATAACAAACGCCTTTTAAAAAAGAAACAAAAAAAAAATTAAACAAAAAAAAAAAAAAAAACAAAAAAAAAAAAAGAAACAAAAAAAAAAAAACTGAGCATGTCTATTACACCTGCAGCCGAGTCGTTCTCTATAGCCAGATCAAGAATGTTGTCTTCACGTTCAACTCCCCTTAAGGTAGAAACAAATATTGACAGTAAAGAAGAATATGAATCACTCTTAATCTTTTACTAGCATTCCTTGGAAAATCTGGATTTAGAAAGCAGTGAAGATAAAGAAACCATAGAATCAAACACAAAAAGACCCACAAAAAAAAAAAAATAGCAAAAACTGTGCAACAAGAGCTTTCACCACCTCTATCAGATTTTGAGCTTTTCGCTCATTTAAAACTATTACGCCATGCATCTGTTTGGTTACCATTTGACCTTAATAATGATGTGGTCAAGCCAATTGACAATTTTTTTCTTTTTTTTATAACAACCATGTTGGATGCAATAGTTGTTAACACGAATTTGTATGCATTGATCAAGAACACAGGTGCTGCTAGTAGGCAATGGCAAGACTTAACGCATAAAGAGTTGATCATTTGGGCTGCTCTTGTTATATATCAGGGACTTTTTAAGTCACCTTCCCTCACTAGTATTAGAATGAGAACCCAAAGCTTCCTGTTCATCATATTTCAAAGCAAATATTATTGTTTTGCTTTGAACAAATTAAAAGGTTTTTGCATGTCTTCTTCCCACAAAAGAGATTGATAATTATTTTGAGAAATTAGAGCTATTGCTCTCTCACATTCAAGATACTTCGAAACATCTTTATACACCAAATTCAAAAGTCTCAATTGATAAAATGATAGTTCTTTTTCTAGCAAAAGCATTCATACAGTCCAAATAAAAAACAAACCAATACCAGAGAGATTCAAGATCTTATCACTCTGTGATGCAGGATATATATATACTTTTTTTACCAATGTCTCGTGTTTCACCAAGTAATACCAATAAAGTTAAAGGTCTTAGTCAAATTAAAAATCTGGTCCTCCTTCTTATTGAGCAACTTCCATACCAACAATTTCTATACAATGTATTTATGGATAACTATTTTTCTAGCATTGCTCTTTTTCAGTATCTTTGGCAAATCAGAATTGGTGCCTGTAGAACTGTACAAAAAAATTCCTCTAGATTTTCAAAAAAGTTAAGAGTGGATAAAAATGTTAAACTTGATCAGGATGTTTGTTCTGGGGTGGTAGTAAATGGTGTTTTAGCTTTTTTTTAGCAGAATAATAGGCCCGTCACAATGTTATCAACAATCCATGGTCTTGTTGGTGAAGAATAGAAAGTAATATGAGAAAGACGACGACCAAGAAAAACAAGCACCAATGTGTCTAAGGTCTTTTGTTTTTTTTGTTTTTTTTTTTGTTTTTTTTTGGATCAGTTAATACCATTTACTAGGTGTGTGCCATATTTGGATCTGAATTCAAAAAAAATTTGAAAATTCTAAAGATAATCGATGATTACAATAATAACATAAATGGTGTGGATATGGCAGATCAACTAAGATCGTATTATAGTATCCAAAAAACAACACGAAGAAATTGATGCCACTGCTCTTTTGGTTGCTAAACACCACAATAATCAACTCTTACCGTATCACCAGAACCCTAGGATCAACACAAAACTATAGGGAATTCTGTCTTGAGCTTGTTTAGGCTCTTGTAAACTTTGCTAATGATACTGGTGAAGTTCAATTAAGGAATAGCATTAAAAAAAAAAAAAGAAAAAAAAGAAGAATCAAAAAAGCTAAAAGTAACTAAGCATTTTAAGCTCTCTGATAGTTAGTTGGAACCTGGAAACCACCTTGTAGAATGGAGGGAAAATCAGGAAGCATGTCAGTGGTGTTCATGGTTGACAATCCAAAAAAAATTAAAATGAGTCATAAATTACCAAACTGAAGTAAACTTTGGTGTGTTGGTTGTAATATACCACTTTGTTATAATGTGGACTGAAATTGTTTTTTAGAATTTTACAATAATAAATAAAATAAATAAAGAACGCAAGGGCTTTATAGCCTCCTATTTGACCTTAATTTATTGTGCTATGATGATTACATCACTATTTAATAATTTAATTATTTAAACTCTTAATAAATTAGTTTGTTTATAAACCTAAAGATCATATACCCCTAATCTGTATTACAAGCCATGAAATATATAGGTATTTTGTAATACTATAATAGTCAGATTTGCAATCTTCTAAACCGAATCGGTCAAGGTTGCTTTCAAAAGTTCAGGCAAATAACCTGCATATTTCATAGCTTCTGCACAAATTTGTGCTTTTTTGTTTAGGTTATATGATATATACATCGTAGTTGTAAATTCAATAGGTAATCTGGGTTCTTAGAAGTTATTGTGACTGATTTAAATTATATCTTGTATAAAAAAAAATTTTTTTTTGGATCTACTTTGTTTTAACTATTTTAGCATACAAATTTGTACGCTGTTGGAATGTAAATTGATGTCCCGGCTATAGATGCTAGTGAAATTAATTTCACCAATTTCACCAATTCACCATCAATTTTACCAATAGTGGTGAAATTATTTCACCACATTTCACCATATTTTACTAGCATTTATAGTTCTGGCCAAGTCACATTTTTTCTATTTTTTTTTTTTTAATTATTTATTTATTTATTTATTTATTTATATTAGTATAGCCTTACTATACCTGTATATAGTTATTTATTTATATTTTTGTCCTGCTCATACCTTTGTTTATATTTAAGAACCATGGTAGCAAACATTAATATAGAACCCATTGAGGCTAGAGTAAACATTAGAATAAGCAGTGGAGCTAAAGTAAACATTAGGGTGAGCAGTTGGGGGCTAAGGTATAAGCCATGGATTAGTGATGTGAGTAGTGTAGCTTCATGTTACCTTAGAATGGGATAATCACAGGCAAAGCAACTGCTCACGAAAGAGTAAACAACTGCTCATAAGAATTTTAATGATTTACTCCTAGATAGCATTCTTTAGTATAGCCTTCATGAATGAAATTGTGTAAATAGAGGTCCTTTTTGCCTTTCCAAAAGGACAAGTTACGAGTTACGAGTTACAAAAAAAGTAATAATTAAGTTCTAATAAACAAATCATATACTTCATATAAAACCTCTCTATAGCTTCCCAAATATAAAATTACCTTCACTTTGCTTAAGTAATTATTTCTCTCTCGTGTTTAATTATCTTTGTATATAAATATATACTGGGTCTCTTGTTTAATATAAAAAAAGTAAGCTCAGATGCTGAATAGACCTTTCTCTGAATAAATAAAAGCTATATATTGTATAGCTTATATAGTGTAGTACTCTTATAAAGAATAATACTTAAAAATATTAATTATATCAACTAATTATTTATTGATTAACTTAATTATTACGAACATTTATTATTAAATTAAAGATTACTCTTAAATTATAATATCTAATTAAGACTGACATCACTCATAGTTAAATTATTCTCTATTAACCCTAGTTATCATCCCTTCTGATCAATTACCTTAAACTAATTATAATTCGCATATAGACTCATACCGATAATTCTTACTCTTATAGTAATTATATTTTTAAACCCAGTATCATATTAACTATTGAAGCTAAACTGTGCAACCTTATTTGCTCTCCCTATTTACAATAGTAACATTTGGTGCCAGTTGTGTAGAATCTCTGAACTATTTCCTATTAAATTAGAATTTTATTTTTAATTAGAAAAATATTTAAGAAGAAATTAAATATAAAATGGCTTAATTACCTCTACCACAAAACCTCCCACCCCTCCAAAACCCACAAAACCTTAACCTTATGTATAATCTGATGAACCAAATTACTCAATTAGTTTAACAGATGCAAGTTGCACAACCACCACAAATAAACTTCAAAGCCATCTATAGGAATTAAATTTAGTTACCTATCTCGAATTTTCAGGAGGAGACCAAAATCCTATTTCTTGGCTAAAGAATATTGTGAAGGCTTTTGAAGCTAATTGGATTAATGACACAAGGAAAATACCTATAATCATTCCTAAATTAAAAGGATCAGTATCTACTTGGTAGAAAACTATCAAAGCCCAAGTCCCATAATCGACTAATAGAATGATAATGCAAATGCAGCTCAAAGTTTAAAGCCAACTTCACCACTAAATTCTAAACCTCTAAATTAGAAGACAAGTAGTTTGCTCAGCTTACCCAATGGAAACAACTTGCTAGAGAAACTGTTATTCCTATCATATAGCCATAGAGAAGATGATTAGGAGAGTAGAGGCTAGAGGTTACCAGTATCCTAATTTGGCTAAAGCCCAAATGTTTATAAACAGGCTAAGATCCGAGTTATATATGAATATTTCTCTATTTACTCTGAATACGTTACAAGCCACATATGATAAAGCTAAAGCATTTGAGAATGCTTATAAGCAAAATTCTATATATGCTGCATTCCTAGACCAAGCTGTGGATTATCTGTTCCAAGTAGCCCAACACTAGCATAATCCGATCTAAGTTCCTACCTCCATTCCAAATAAAACTAAAACCACAATTAATAGACTTACCAAAGCTGTTAATAAGATGATGATCCAAATTCAAGATCAATGATAGCCACAAAGAAGTTACTAATCTAATCTAAGGAATTCAAACCCGAACCTCATAGTTTGTTATAACTGTAGGCACTCTAGGCATATAAGTCAAAATTGTACCACCTTTCGCCAAACTCTGATCGCTACCAACTCACCTGTATATACCCCAACTGACGCTAATTCACAAGAAGTGTTATTGGCATTAATGAACTTATTACAGCAACAAACCTCTTCAAAGAATGTTCTGCATATTTAGAATTTACTGCCGAAGATACTTCTATATTCACCCCTGCAGAAGTAGAGATAAGAAAGAACAATCTGATAGAAACCCGTACTAAGAAATGGAAGGTAAAAGAAGAGAAAGCAGTATTGGTAAAAGAAATAATAGAAAACCATGAAAGCAAAGAACCATAACCCACCTTAGTTAGACGTAATCTACAAGAAGAAAAGAAGAAGAGACCTGCTTCAATTAGAAAGAAGAAACTAGAGGATAATATTCCACAAATATCATCCCTAGTCGCCTTATATTCAATAGTCATCAAAATCTGAGATAAACCGGATAATATTACTTTTAGACAGTTGTTTAAAGCTACCCCTTCTATGAGAACTGATTTAATCTGATCCCTACAAAAAAAGAAGATTATAAGAAGAAAATTAAAGATTAATGTAAATCTACAAAATACCCAGAAGTCGACTGCCCTATACTGTGACATAAAGATACAAGATAAAGTAATTCCACTGATAGTCGATAGTGGATCTTCAGGGAGTGTTGCATCGTCTTACTTTTTAAAAGACTTAGGAATTAAAATCAACCATCTATCTACCATTAATATGATTAACATCTATGGCAAAAGCAAAAGAGCTATAGATGAAATAGCTAACTTCCTCTTTGTTGTAGGAGGATTAAAGATTCTAATAGTCATCATTATTACCGATACCAGTTCTTATAATGCTCTAGTAGGTAATGACTGGTTATCAAAGGTGAATGTATTAATTGACTAGAATTTTTCTGAGATGATGCTTACGTAGGAAGAAAAAGAAATCACGGTGCCTGTAGAATTCAGGAAGGTCACCCAAAACCGCTTGAAGCAGAAAGACCTACAAAGATAAATCAAAAAGAAAATAAAGTTAGTGAAGAAGAAGAAGAAGAAACAGAAGAGGAAGAGGAAGATGAGGATGAATTTGAAAAGGAAGAGTTAGAAGATAGAATTTATGGATTTTTGGAGGTAGAAAAACAAGATAAAAGTTCAGAGGAAGATGATGAGGATGAAGGGTACGAAAACCTTAATCTAAATAATCTAAGAGAAGGAGAAGCCTGGTGGAATTTAGATAGCAACGATGGTTATGAAGAATACATTATGAAGCTGAATTGTTGAATAATAAATGGGATGAAAAAATATATACCAAGAAATTTATAAAATTAACTTTGCCAGATTTAGCTGTAGAGGAGTACAAAGAAATTGCTAATCTTTTTGACTTTTATTTTGACAAAGAAGAAAATCTAGTAGCGATATATAACGTCAAGACTCTTCCTAAAGACCAAGAAGAAAAAATAGAAGTAATCTTGGATAAAAATCCAGATCTCTTTGCTAAGAGTATCTCTGAGCTTGGTCGAACCAATAGGTATCACCACTAGATAATTACCGCAGATGCCCTACTAATTAAGCAAAAGCTATATCATCACTCCATAAAAGAAAAGGAGTTTCTTAAGGAAGAGTTAAAAATGATGGAAAAAGAAGGAGTAATCTGAGTTTTCTGTAGCCCCTGGTCCTCTTAGTAAAACAGGAAAAAAAGAAAACCCATATCTGTATAGACTACCGGAAGCTTAATGCTATTATGAAGAAAGACAATTATCTACTTTCTAGGATTGATGATCTTTTAGATACCTTGAAGAGATTCTTCTCTAGACCTCGCTAGTGGGTACTGGCAGGTAGAGATGACAGAAGAGGATAAAGAAAAGATGGCTTTTGTAATACCTAAAGGGATTTATGAGTTTAACGTGATGCCCTTCAGATTAGCCAATGCTCCTGCCACCTTCCAACGCTTAATAGACGAAATTTTTCAAGATATTATAGAAAATTTGTCATCATATATCTCAATTATATAAACGTTTTCTCCAAGACCTTTGACAAACATCTCTTCCACCTCCAAGAAGTTTTCAGGTGGTTATAGAAAGCCGGTCTTAAATTGAAACCCCAGAAATGTTTTTTTGGAAAATGCCAATTGAAATTCTTAGAGTATATAGTAGATTTAACCGATTTGCAGAAGATAAAAGCTGTATATGACTTTTCAATGCCCTATAACATAAGACAACTATGAGGATTCCTGGAACTCACCTCCTATTACCAAAAATTTGTAGAAGGATTTACCAATATCACCTTACCCTAAACTTATTATTGAAAAAATATAAGTATTATAAGTGGGGTCCTGAATAAGAGAAGGCTTTAAAAAGCTAAAAATAAAACTTACCACTGCTCCAGTATTAGCCTATCTTGACGAAAATAAACTATTTTTACTATTTACCAATGCATCTTATCAAGCTTTGGGTGCAGTTCTCTCCCAGCTTGATTCCAAAGATAAAGAGAGAGTTATTTTTTACGCCAGTCATAGTTTATCTCCAGCAGAAAAAAATTACTCTATTACAAAGAAAGAGTGTCTGATAGTCATCTGGGCTACATCATATTTCTGGCAATATTTACACAGTACTCTCTTCATTTTATATACAGATCATTCTGCTTTAAAATTTTTGTTTTCTCACAAGCTACTTCAAAATAGGCTTGCTCGTTGGATTCTAATGCTACAAGAATATTCTTTTAAGACTATATATAAATCTAGGAAAAGACATTTAAATGCAGATAGTTTATCTCATATATAAAAAAAAAAAAAAAACCCTACTCTTAGTAATAATATGGACACCTTTAACGAAATACCCCTAGATAGTTACAATGGACAATGAACTTAAACACATATTATTTATTTCTAAGGTATCTTAGCAATACAAGAATACCATTAAACTGTGACAAAAAATAGTTAAAATACTAAACCTGACATTATATGGTTCAGAAAGAGTTACTATATAAAAAGAACCTTAGAAACCCTTTAAGATCCCAATAAGTTCTCAAGCCACATAAAATAGAGTCAGTCCTATTTAGGATGTATTCAGATCCCCTAGCTGGCCACTTTAACATTATAGCAACTTTCCAACAAATTTCGATCCATTACTTTTGGCCTCAAATGGAAGAAAGTATTAAGGCCTATGTTAAATCTTGTGACTTCTGCCAAAGTCAAGGACATCTTAAAAGTAAAGAGCCACTTCACCCGATCCAAGTTAGACACTCTTTCGATAGAGTCAGTATTGATATCATTAGGCCACTACCTATAACAACAAAAGGAAGTCATTATATTGTAGTAGCTACAGAATATTTAACCTGGTGGCCTGAGGCTCGAGCCCTTAAAAAGACTGATGATATCTCTGTAGTTGACTTTCTATTCAACAACATAATCTGCCGGCATGGAAGTCTGAAGGTATTACTTTTTGACTAAGGCTCCTACTTTTGTAATAAAATTATAGATGCTCTTTGTAGCCGAATTGATGTTAAGCATTGGCTATCTACTACCTATCATCTGCAAACTAATAGGTTGGTAGAAAGATTTAATCGTATCCTCTGTGAGATACTCACCAAAAGCCTAAGCCAGTTTGGGAATGAATGGGATGATTACATAACTCCTGCCCTATTTGCATACCAAATGACCCAACATAGTACTACTTGATATAAGCCCTTTTTCTTGGTTTATGGTCGTGATGCTCTTTACCCTATAGAAACTAATTCACTTACTTCTCCTACTGAACCAATAACTGAAGACGAATTACAAGAAAGCATACTACGGCGAATAGAAACATTATTGGAGAACTTGGTAAAGGCCCGCCACCAAGCTAGTGCTAGGACCTATAAGGTATAACAGAAACAATATGACTATCACGACTCTAGGTACCAAATAGAGTTATATGAAATAGCCGATTTGGTGCTCTTATTTAAATCATCTCTAGCAACTTCACATAGCTCTAAATTTGAGAAAAAGTGGACTAGACCTTATTATATCTATGACACTTATGGAAATGGTGCCTACAAATTGAGAACTAAAGAAGGGCAAGTCTATAAGAAACCTGTATACAGAAACAGGTTAAAGAAATATCATGTGTAAAAAAAAAAAATAATAAAAAATAAATAAATAAATAAATAAATAATAATAATAATAATAAAATAGATAATATTTGAAAAATATTAAAAAAAAAAAAAAAAAAAATTTTATATATATCTTTACTGACACATAGAACGAACACTATAACCAACATGAATTCTTCAAAGATTCCCTGCAGCATTAAGAAAATGTTATCATTATTACAAAGACAAATCCAAAATGAAGGGATGGAAGGAAGCTTCACCATTTCTGAAAAAGGAATGTGCTACGCAAATAAGGAAAATCCAGTAATCGAAATTAATCCATCGGCTGATCATACGGAAGCCCAGCGAATTCATGAGAAATTACTGCTTCTTATAAAAGACCTACAAAGAAGCGAAATAATCTTCTAATCCTTAGAAATAGTAAAGGGCAGAAGTTGGAAATATAAGATGAGACTTCTCTGTGCTATACTTAGTAGAAATTCGGAAGACTCATCAGCCAACTTACAGAATTCTTACCTTTTGGGAGAGAAAATCAATGATAATAATTGGGAAGACCTTGCCCAGAAAATTGTTTAAGAAGAATTTCTGAATAGTCATAGAAACTTATAGAAAACAGCTTTTCAAGCCTATACCTTATATTCTTCTCACAGTGTTCTGAATCTTCTTAGGACCCAACATATTATGCCTCATATTCTATTAAAGATATATGAGAATGATTTTAATAAATTAGTTGATGAGGCAAGAGCTATAAAAAGTAAAGAGAAAATAGTCTTACTTGAGCTCTATGAATCTTTCGCAAGGGCTCAAGTTCAAGAGAGGGAATATGTTGGAATATAAATTGATGTCCCGGCCAAGTCACATTTTTTTCTATTTTTTTTTTATTTAATTATTTCTTTATTTATTTATTTATTTATATTAGTATAGCCTTACTATACCTGTATATAGTTATTTATTTATATTTTCATCCTGCTTA